CTAGAAGAAGCAACTAAATCTGTAAAAAAAATTCCCATTGTAGTATTTTCTATTGTGACTTAGAACAAGACTATATAAAGGTGAATCGGGGTGAGTGAATGTTTGGATAATTTTCAGTGATGGTCAGTTTCAACTGCTGTTGCAAGAAAGCTGACAGCAGGGAGGAGGGTAGGAAGAGGAAAGCAGGTGCCAGTACCAAGGAGGCCTATCAGAGAAGCTGCCCAAGTGTGCCAGGAGCTGGGCAGACCTGAGAGGCAAAAACAAACATTTTCTGTTTACTTTGATTAGGTTAACAAGGTAGCTAAGGAGGGGTAATTGATCTGAATTTAGCAATATTGTGTATGTTCCCTGTTCTGTGCTCTACATCTCAATTTTCCTTTCTCATTTATAAGTTCCTCATAAGCTTGTGTTTAATGCAAATATTACCACTCTATTTCTTAAATTAAAAAAGAGGACAACAAAATAAAACATAGGTAAAGTTCATCCTTTTTAGAAACTTCACATGAAAATCAGGACCCTATCCTAGAGTTTCAGATGGCTCCCTCGTTAACTTCATTAGCAAATGTAATGAACCTGATGTGTCATCATCAGCTTCTCTTCAGCAGAGAAATGTCATCAAAAAAGGGCTTATGAAAAGCATCTCCTTCACTTGGCTCTTATTTTTCATCCCGTTCCCCATCAGAAAAGAAATTGGTGTTTTCTGGCAAAGTAGCCCTGATTTTCTTCTTTTCTTTGAAGCGTCCAGAATTGGAAACTTTGACATGTTTCCCTTTGGTGCTTTTGTCCACAATTTTCTCTAGCCGGGCATTGAATTCCTGCTCATTGTGGCTTCCGCTGCTCCCATCTGCTGGTATGCCCTCTTGTAGATTCTCATCATTGGACACTCCGTAAATATCTGGACTTTCATACAATACCTTTGGAGTTGATTTTTTCTTTCGGAGGAAGGTTAACTTCCACCAGCTATAATTATTTTCTGCCATGGAGCCAACAGGAAGGATCAGTCACCCTTAGGAAAGGGGGAAAAAAGTACAGATCTGTTATGATCTTGTGATTTGGCTGGTTCCCCCCCCCCCAAAAAAAGGTCAATAAGACCATACTTAGAAATATGAGCTTCATATTCCTCATATACATATAATAAACATCTCACCCCAAATTCCTATTTCCCTTCCAAAAATAAATTATGCAAGTTACAGTAGATGGACAACATAAGAAACTATGAACTTTCTTGATGTGTGCCTATGCTTTAGTGCCTTAGAGAAGAAAATGTGTAATGCAGATGATGAGGACAAAATCAAATTCCATGTACATGGGAAAAATGTCAGAAGTTTTTGATGTTTAAGATGCAGATGTTGAAGCTTCAGTTTGAAGGGAGAGACTGTAACTGAGGATAGTTTCTTTACCCGGGCCACCTGCAGAGAATGGCAACTCCTGGGAAAGTTTAAAAGTCAGCTTTAAAGACAACTTTATGAAGTCCACAACCACCATAGTGCTTACATATATTCCTTGCAGTGAGTACCTAAAATGATGAGATGCTGCCTAAAAGATTACTTGGTTAGCATGTTCCCATTCCCCCCCCCCAAAAAAATGTTAGGGAAACTAAATACTGTATTTAAATTTTCCCTTCAAAACATGGAGCACCTTATCTTTTTTTCCTTTGTTTTCAGTTGCTTCACATCCTAATTTTGTTTATTCCCCATTAATGGTGACAGAGACACAGTATACATACTGTTAAAATATCTGTGTTAAGGCAGGAAAATATTTGATGAAGCTCATCTTATTTGTATACTTCTTAGCTCTGCCTAAATTCATCCATCTGTTCATAAACTTATTGTTATCATTCTGAAAAATTCAAATGCACTATGTAAATGCTGCTTTGTAGGTAGAGCAAAGCTCATTGTGATGCTTAGGAACTTGTGAATGTGCTTCTCAGATTCCTGTTCTTGGATCCATACATTTTGCAAAGCCACATTTATTTTTGATCAATCTACAGTGTTCCCAAGAACCAAGTTGATTGAATTCATGCATTATGCTAAGCTAAATAGCTCAAGCCAATTGTAATGGGAAAAAGGAATAACCTTGAGGAATAGGAGGAAGAGCCACAATCAAAACAACAGGTTAGATAAAAGAAGTCTGAGTCTAGGCCAGAATTGAGAAACCATCTCCAACTTCCTAGTTCTCACAATAATAGGGGGGGGGGAGAGATTCAGACATGCAATATTCTGTTTCTATAACCTAATAAAAATGTATGACTTTAGTTTCCTAATCTGGTGTACCTTGAAGTGCTAATACCTGTGTATCTTATGAATCCTCTTAAATGATCTATATGGGCCAGCCTTGGATAAGAGGAAAAGATAATAGAAGAATAGACTATAGTTATATCTTCTTGCTGAACAGAAAAAATTGTCCATTAAGAAGTACAAGAATTTTTATTCTTTCTATCTAAATGACTGATTAGCATTTGGATGGGAGACCACCAAGATACTTTAAGACTAGACTGTGGAATATTGAAAAATCCTTTAAAAAGGAATAAGAAAGAAAACTGCATGGGATGCTTATTAGGTCAGCAGGAGAACTCAGCTTGAAGAGTCCATGCCTTTAAATTATTATTATGCATTGATTATTATTTTTCAGCTTCTGCTCATCTCAGGTGTAACTTCTTGTTTCAGATCAAGGGCAAGGGCAGGAACTATATATAAGTGAATTTGTTTATTCTACATTAAAACATCATTTGTTTCCCGTGTATGATCTAAGGATTCTGTAGCTTGAGATAACATGATAATAGTTTACAAATAGACAACACCTCCTTGAAAGACAGACTGAACTCAATCTTGTTTGTAGGCCTGTCTATTCCCTGTGAGCTACGCAAAAAGGATGAAAGGCAGTCTTTCTCCCATCCCATGTATGTCCTATATTGGAGCCCATTCACTATATCCGTAGATTTCTGTGGGAGCTGTTAAAATCCAACCTTATTCTCCATCTCAGAGGTGGAACCAGAAAGAAATATTAGAAACATAGATGAATGGTAACCTCTAGTCTTAACACCTTAACTATTATACCACACAGTACTTGGGTTCTCCAACCAAGTATCCTCCAGATGCATTGGATTATTTTTAAGCTTGGACACTAAGTTACAGATTCAAATAAATAAATTCAAATAAATCTTCAACTTCTCCAAAACCATGTTTAAACTTCATTTTAAGACATTTAATGTTTCTCTGAAGCACATCATCCACTCTTATTTTCTTTCTCTCTCTCTCTCTCTCTCTCTCTCTCTTTCTTTTAGACTCATGTTCTCTTTGTCCATCAACCTAGTAATACCTCCCAATATATTAGACTTCAATGCTAGCTCAGAATTATGGGAGTTATTCCAACATAGATGGTAGCAGGTTGGGGAAAGGAAGGAAGGTGGGATCCATAACCATCTTTTATTGGGAATCATAAATGACTAGATAAATTATCTACCATGTCCTCACACCAAATATTAACTACTTCCATAGAGTGGAGAAGGCTCTCTTCCTAAACTCTGCCAGTCAGAGTTCTTTGATTAGGAGAGGGGCTGTAACATACCTTCCTTGCCTGACTGAGTGGAATGAAGCTGGGTTTGTAGGCAGCCTCGCTCTATGCCATGTAGGACTTTATAGGTCATAAACAACATCTTTAATTGAACCCGGAAGCAAACTGGAACCCAATACAATTCATGGAGCAGAGGTGTTAGATGTGCCCTTCTTTGGGCACCCAATATAGCATTTTGCATTTGATTTCATCTATCCTTGAGAGGAATCTAACAGATTGGGAGCAAGGCAATTTAAGAGAAACTGAAGTATTCTGCACAGATGTATCTTTTCATTTTTTCCTTCCTTTTCTCTATATAAAAGAGAGCAGAAAGGATTCATTTGTCAGAAAAAAATGTTTTACTGGAATGGCATGGTAATATTCAACTCTAATCCAATGTTTTACATGGATAACAGAAAGAGGAGGATTTTTAATTTTCACAAATTAATGGACACCTTTAAAATAGCTAGTGAAGTAAATAAATGTATCAAGACATACTTAGAACAGAATTGAGCAAACTAATGTCCTTCACGTTTTGGGCTACAGTTCTTACAATCCCTTGTAATTTGCCATTTTGGTTGGAGGTGAATGAGAACTGAAATTCAAAACTTTATCAATTTGTCTGACCTCTGAGCTAAAGAATCAGACCCTATCTCTCTGTTAAGTGTAATTTTAGCAGTAACTCAGGTTTGCAAAAGTGAAATATGCAAAACAGCTACTCAGTGGGTCATCTGAGATGTTTTTCTCCCCCTATCTTATTTGAAAGCCAAATAAACTTGTTCCTTCTTCATTTTATGCTTACAACAATCTGTAAAAGACTATAGCAAGAAATTGTATTTCGGTCTGAGATCATCCAGAGATTAGGAGTAATCATGGATGAAAACATGTATTTGTCCCATCTAGATTCAAAACTCTGCCCACTGAAGTTCTACTCGTTTTATCTTTACATCTGCTGGTAGTGATCAATTAAACATTTGTGAAGGCTACAAAACACAGTGTTCCCAGGTGTGGAGTGAGTTTCCTTCCCCTCTTCCCTTAAAAGTGCCATTAACAACATACCTGCTTCGTCTGATGTCTGATTTGTCCGTCACTGAACAGTATCTTCAATTCTTATGGGCAAAGGCCAATATGGAGAAGACGTGAGGTAGAATGAGACACTGAGCTGGATGTTGAGTTACTTTTGTGCAAAACTGACAGAGTTGGCTTTGGCAACCAGTGAAAATGTGATTCTCACATCTCAGGTGTGTGGAAGTGCCACATACCTATTTGTGCTTCACTTCTCTCTCCCTCCCTCTGTATGTCAAGGTTAACCAGGGACTGAGCCACTCCTGCCTAAAGTAAACAGGAGCAAACAGTGGCTGAGCAGGGACAGATCTGAATATTCATGATGAGGGAAATCTAAGCTGAGACCTCTTAGAGCAATTCCATTTGACTTTACCTGCGGAGAAGGGAAGGTGGTATTTAAGGGGGGGGGGTTAAATTCCAGAATTTGAGCTCTGTTGGATGTTGGAAATGTATCCCATGAAGCTTTAGAGACTTATTTACTGAGTCAAAGTTTTAAAAAGGTAAACACTTTACTTCCTCAGGTGGATTATGTTGATAACCATGGACAATAAATGCATTACTGAATGCACATGCAGAGAGAGGTTTAGACTTTATAATCCAAACTGAATTAAAAAGACAAAATTTAAAACACCAAAGATTGTAAAGAATTGTACCCTGATAAGTGACTGGTCCTGCAGGGTACAAATTCTCACATGGGACACTATTATTCTGCAGGAAGGTAAGACCCATTTTCATTCATAATACAGTGTCAACTTATTGAAGATAATTTCCCATCAAGGTCAATTTTTGGTAAAATGGCTGGTTTATTTTTTTCTGCAGGAATCAAATGTGGGAATCAACCACTGAAAAACATGGTAACTATGAAGAATTGAAAATTCACAAAAATTCTTCTATGAATTTTAATTTTCAGTCACATATACTGTACATATAATTTTATATTACAGCAATCAAATAATAAATGACACATGTGAACAAGTGTTTTATAAATGCTTTGTGACTTCTAGTTCCATTTAACATGTTTATTTTTGGATACTTCTTTTATCCTTCCAATCACCCAGCAATATAGTTAGGCAAGAATGAAAAATAATATGTTAGGTATTTATAGTTGCAGCATAGCATGTAAACCTCATGTTGGTCATATTTTATTACAATAAACAAAATGTTTGAGGACAAAATTTGGAGATGAATCACATAGTTCTATTCATGAATTGGTAAACTGGAGTAAGAAATATCTTTGGAAACGCCTTGAATATTCCGGGTAATATAAAAGTCTTAGTGAAGTTTAAGTTTTTATAATAAAGGCTTCAAGGTAGATGTGAAGGGTGCAATGGCATAACCATAACCTCTAATTTTGAATTAATTCATTTTTAAATAAATGAATATATTAAACTGATTTGACCACATGAAAAATTTCTTCCCAAAATAATTTTTCCACCTGCAGATTTTAAGAAAAGGAAAAAAAATTCCCTCCAGAGACATATCTGGATTGCCAAGTGCTCTGCTTCAGACCATGCTGGGGCTTAGGCCTCTGTAACGCTGGGCAAGGTTAACTGTTTTTTTTATAATAATAATAATAATAATAATAATAATAATGAAATAGACTTGTTTACTACTGCCATGTTTGCAAAGCTTTCAACAATTGTGACTATTTGTTATTTATACAGTGTCTCAAAGATACTTGGTTCTTTGTGGAACAGTATAAATAAACAAATAAAAAAATATAGATTTTGAGATTCCAAAGTGTTTCCAGTCTAAACCGGACAACAGAAAAAAAACCCCAATCCTTTCTTGACTAAAATTCCCATGACAGATAAACCCAGTAAAGAGGTCCTGTTAAATAAGGACCAATTTATTCATCTATGTAATCTTCATAATCCAATTCTGTGGAATATAAAATGTAATTTTCTAGATGTCAGAGTAGTATGGGGACTGCTGAATGTATACCCACTGGGAAACTAGGAGCCACTAATTCTCAGCTTAATCCACTTAACAAAGAACTCCTTGTTAAAAATAAAACAAAATAACTCTTAGAATGACATTTAATTTGATATGAACAGGTGGAACTTCCTGGTCCCTATTCTTACTAGTGCCAAACAATATTCTAATGTCTATTATTTTTATCCTTCATTGAATCCAAAGGGTTAATATCTCTAGCTCTTACTAGTTTGGTTCTTTTACATCTATTCTTTTCTTTGGAGGATTAGTCAGACTAGACTTTGGCTCTGGCACTCATCAGACCGGTTTAACCTTTCTTTTCTTTTTCTTTCTGTGTTGGAGTGAGGGGGAATAATTTGTTCCTTTTCCTGTTCAGTTGCCAACACTTCCAGTAATCCAGGTTAGAGACCATTCAATTGTTTTCTCAGGGAAACCACTATCCCAAAACAGCAGATCTTTCCAAGAGATGAACACTGTACAGTATTTAGAGTGGAAAAGAATCTGTAAGAGGAATTGTTCAGAACTGAATCTATTTGCAATAATTCAAATTTATATCAGTGTACCATTTTTGGATTGAGTCTTAGTGAAATTCCAAACCTACTTGATTACCCATTCCAAGTCATACTAAAATTATGGCCCTTATAATTTCTAAAACTAGACACAGGGCAAAGGTAATGTGAGAAAAGTTGGGCCTCCTTCACTTATCTATACCCCACATATTAATTTATTTATTTCCCGCTTGCATTTTATTTAAGCATTCTTAAATTTGTGTGCCATTTGAATCTATCTTCCAGAAAAATTTAACTTCATTTATGTTCCATTCAAAATAATGGGGCTTAAGTTAAATATAATATCATCAAAATTCCTTGAGCCATGGACAGTAAGTATGTTTAATGGGCTAAATTCAAACCTTTTAGAGAAGGCCCTTTTAAATAAAATGGAAGTTACACTGAAAGTAGTTACTCTACTTTCCAGACATGTCTAAGTCCAAACTCAACACAATCTGGATTATATAAACAATAAGTGGCAAAATGATTTTTGTTACTGTAAATTTGCTTTCCACAATATGATGCCCTAGAGATGTGTTAAGATTAGAGCTTTTAAGAGGCAAAGATTCTATAATCCAATATATCTACAAAAGAGCAAGACTGGAGAAAACTGACACATAAGACATATACGGGAAATCTATCTTCCCATCACCTGCCTGGAAGTTATAACCAGAAGTGAGATTAGGAGTCTATCTAAAATATCAAAACTTAATTAATTCTCATTCAGACTCTGAAATATAAATTTATAATAAAACCTTATATGTGGTCTAATAAGCCATTTATGAAAGGTTTATGCAAACATATGAACTGAATGCCAAGCTCTGTAATTTCACTTTTTTATCAAAGGCAGTTTCATTTTAAAATAGTGTTACTAAAACAAAAGCTGAAAATATTCATAATTCAGTTTGGAAATATGCTCTACACCAGTGGTGGCGAACCTATGGCACAGGTGCCAGAGGCAGCACTCAGAGCCCTCTCCGTGGGGACGCAGGCTATCACCCCAGTGCTAGGCATTCAGTTGGGTTTTATAAAACTTTTTCACTTTAGGCCTCCGCCGTGTGCCAAAAAAAAAAAAAAAGTTCAGTCAATTTCAACTTCTCATGGGAAAAGATCTAGCAAAGTTGGGATTGATTGAACTTTTTAGTCCCACCCAGTCTGCGGTTATCACTGCAACCACACCCACCCAATGGGCCACACCCACCCAACACCTGACCATTCATAAGTGGGTTTTGAATTGCAGTTTGGGCACTTGGTCTCTAAAAGGTTTGCCATCACTGCTCTACACTGTGATGCCAAATATTCTATCATGTACATAAATTAGTATTCCTGGACAATTTGGGGAATAGATATTTTTCTGTTGTTTGCTATTACCATTATTATTACCAGGTTATGCAACTCTTAACTTCTGGTTGGAGGAAATGGCTAATTTTGAAAAACAAAATATTATAAATTATTTTCCAATGTGACCTTACATTCCTGTAATCCATTAAATTACCTGAAGGCAATCTCGTTGTGTAATCATTTTTCAGCATTTAAGTTGTAAATAGCTGATGTAATGGGCAGCCTTAACTTGGATTACTATACATACAATATGAAGGAATCAGACTACCGTTTTATCTCGAGCTGTCGAATTTCTGAATACTATTCTCTGACAAGCTTTCTAGAAAATAAAAATATAATTATTCAGCCCTAGAGAATTGGCGGATTGACTTAAACCTTTCGTCTGCAGATAATCCTTTTACCACTGGTCATGTCCTTAACTGAAACGGTTTAGCATTTCCGCTTCATCTATATTAGGGTTCAAATGTACACGTGCACAGTTCGCTCATACAAAAGTAGCCTCGTCAAAGAATCTGCAAATTTTGAGCACCACCTGCCGACCAATATCATTTCCTAACTCCTTCCTTCTGCCCTCACTCATCTCCCTTCTCCCCCTCCCCAACCCCTGCTTCTGCTATAAGTGAGGTTTTTTTACGGTGTGAATTTCTGCTGGCCAATCACAGAAATGATGCGTGGCCTTGTACAACTCCTTCACTTCACTTCCCTCAGAAGGCGGGCTCTGCATATTGGAACTTCCGTTCATTATTGGTTACGTCGGAAGAACTTTGTCCTGCGTCTGCGTCGATTGGTTGTTGAGGCGGAAGAATAGCATCGCGAAGGGAAGCGAGTTCTTTTGGTGGCGGACGCAATAGAAATCATGCAGGTGGGAAAGATCATATAACGTTAAGGGGGAGTTGGTGAGAAACACCACTTGGGTTATGGGGGGAGGTTAATCACCTCGCCTGAGATTGCTTCGAAATCACTGTTTCTAGGTTTCAGAATAACAGAGTTGGAAAGGACCTTGGAGATCTAGTCCAACTCTGCTCAAGCAGGAGACCCTATTTTGCACCTACATTAAACTCCTTTTGTTTAATTCTAAAATGAATGCCACCTAGTTTTCTCCGTTAACTCTAGCTTCGTGGTCACCCTAGGTGCAGTTAGCAAGAGTAAATATAACACTTTTGGAAACACTCTTAAATATTTCAGAAGTTCTAAAGAAGGCTCTCGTTCAAATGAAGTCTTACCTCTGATTTCATTCAGGGTTCTATCTTTAGATAGAGTGGAGCCCTCCGCTTCAAGGCTCCAAAGCCTTTCCTGTTTCTGTTCCAAGCCACTTTACTTTTTAAAATTGCTATTTTATTGTCTGTGAGAGAGGCATCTTGCTTTTATTTATTTAAAATATTTAAAATTAATATTTTAAATAAATTAAAATTGTACCCTGGGAGCTGCAGATTCTTAAAGGTTTTATTCACGTTTGTATCATGCAGGGTTTGCCAACCAAAGCATCTTTAAAATGCGAACTTCAGCTCTCAGAATTGCTGGCTGGGGAATTCTTACTAGGAAATTCTGAGAGTTGAAATCCACACAACTTAAAATTGCTGAGGTTGAGAAATACTGGTGTAAGCATATGGGTTATTAACATGGTCAAGCAGAAATCTAAGGCATTTGGAGGAAAGACAGATAATCTAATGGGCGTAAGCTACAACTTTCTTTAGCACATATGAATTTCTAGATATTAAAAATCTATACCTACATCTATTTAACTATAGATGTTTCTGTCATATAAACTTTGAAGGTTTAATTTAAGATATTGAGTTTGACAAAATAAGCCCAGAACTGAAGAGTTAGGCATGATTTTACTAAATTCACTTTTATTATTGTATCCTATAGCAATGATTTAACTCCATCAAAGTGTTGTTTAAAATATTTCAGATTTTCTATGCATAATGTGAAATCTTTCATCATCAATAGAGTTCACATGTCATGTTAAACTATATGAGTTTGTTTTGGTTTAGCACAAAGAGGTGAACCGTGATATGTTTTGTAACTCATGGGTGTAGGTTTGTGTGATGTGTAAGTCCAACTAATTGAAGTCAACATTGCTAAGAACCTGGTATAGTGTGGTATGTGAAACCAATAATTGTATTGTAATTGGAGCAAGAATTAAGCGCATAATGGTAATTTTAGTTCAATATATTTTAGTACCGTATTTCAATAAATGTTTTATTTGCTAGTATTATTGCACATGTTATTTCCTTTAGGTCTTCAGTGAGTTCATATGTTGGGAGTTTAACATATTATTGACATAGTAATTTCATTGAGTTAAATCTCTTTGAGACTCTTGTTAAATCACCCTTTGTTTCTGTTTCAACAGGACTATCAGAAGTTGCCAATTGATATACAGACCAGCAAGTTGCTCGGTAGGTCTCTTTTTGTGTTCTTTACGTGCCCTGTTGAAACAAGTGGCGGCTTTAAAAGTACTACATAGCTGTGTGATCTTTCTGACCTTTCTTTTGATGTGTATTTTTATTCTTTTTGAAGATTGGCTGGTGGATAGGCGACACTGCAGCCTGAAATGGCAGGCTCAGGTCCGCATCATCCGTGAAAAAATTGCTTTGGCTATCCAGGACATGCCAGAAAATGAAGAGATCAAATGTCTTCTTTCTGGTTCCTGTGAGTATTTATGGAAGTTCTTAAATGAATGTATAATTAACCTTATATTTAGAATATATGATTAACCTTAAATAATAAGCTTGGGATTTTTGCTGTTTATTTTTTAAAGAAAAATAAGAGATTCACAGAATAAAATATATTTAATCAAAATCTCACAGTTCTTCTGTCTCTGATTCCAGATATTCACTATTTTCATTGCCTCAGAATTGTGGAGGTCCTCAAAAGGACAGAAGTCTCTTCTAAAAACATATTTGGTCATTATTCTTCACAGCGAATGAAGGTGAGTGAACCAGAGGAGGAGAACAACATATTTTGCATTCCACACTGCTTAATGAACTCACATTTTCCAAGGGTTGGCTGTTCCCTTTTTTATTACTTATGCAAACCTATACCCATGGATTACAAAATATTAAGGTTTGATTAATTAAGTTTCACTTTTTATGCTAAACTAAAACAATCTCATATAGTTTAACATGACATATGAACTCTATTGATGGTTAAAGTTCCTTCAATAAGTGAGCAATTTACTAATCCTTGGATTTTCAACAGTTGACTCAAGAATGCCAAGTTTCCATGTTGTTACCCACTTCCAACAAAAGTAAATTGAATAGGAGATGAAAGGCATAGTAATCCAATAAATCTAGATAGAAACACAATGTGGAAGACTGTCCAAGAAGTAGTGCACTAAAACTTAACATGTTCTGAAAACTCCTGTCTTTCAAAACACAAAGTGGAGAACTTTTGCATCTGAAATATTATTTATACAGGATTTATAAAGAACTATGCAAGCAAACTTATATAGTTCATTTATCTACTTCGATAAAAATAATAAGAAACACAATATAATTAGAAAAAAAAAACCCACCACGCTGAGGCACAAATAAAACTTGCATTCATTAACCACAGTAGCTTGGTCCTCCCAATCTTGGACCCAGTATTGGGAAAAAGCCAGGTTTTCTTTGGTTTCCTAAAGGCCAAGAGATTGGAACCATCTATATCTCTGCAGGAGGTTTTTTTCATGAGGCATGTGTGATGTCAAAGAAGACATGCTTTCCAGGCTTTACCAGGTAACACACTGAGTGGTCTTGGAGCATGCCAATCCTGACAGATCTGGTGTGACAGGTAGAAAACTAGCCTGGCCTCATTATGTAAGGTTTTAGAGGTGATGATCAATACCTTGAATTGCATTTGAAGCTTAAAGGGAGCCATTGCAGCTCATGCAACAGTGGTGTTACATGGTTGTACTGTAATGTGCCCACTAATGCCTATATCAGGAGTCCCCAACCCCTGGGCTGCGGCCCATCACCAGACTGTGGCCTATGCTGAACAGGGCTATACAAGAGGTGTACTGGTGCACACGTGTGTGAGCATGCAGTTCCACTCCTGCAAGCAACATCCCAAAGGCTTCTCTCTTGCATGAGTGGAGCTGCATGGGTGTGCATGCCAGCCTTCCACTTGTGCAGCCCAGTTCCCCTCTTCTGCCCCGGGCTGCCAAGCTGGCTGCTCTCAGTGCTCCAAAAGCAGAGCAGTGAGACCAGAGGCTGAGTGCGACGAGCATTCCCTGCTCAGCTTTGCTGACCCATCTAAGCTACCTGCGCAGGACACCCAATCCGCTTTTGGAGCATCAGGCAGCCTTGGTAAATCTGAAGAAGCATGAGACAGTGCTCCCAAAGGCTTCTCTTCTCCGTGCCAACAGCTTTTGCAAATGGATGAAAGGCTTTGGGGGAGTGATCTCATGCTACTTCATGGCCTTCTGTCCCTTTGCAAAAGCTTTTGGTGCAGAGAAGTGTGAAGGAGCCCGAAACAGTGCCTCAAAGCCTTCTCTCTTGCGTAAGTGGAGCTGCACATATGTGCATGCTCGCACAGTCTGGTTCCTCTGCCCAGCTGGACCAAGGAGCCCCAGGGTTGGGGACTGCTGGCCTATGTCACTGCATTCTGGACCATATGCAGCTTCCAAATGATCTTCAATGGCAGTCCCATGTACAGATAGTCCTTGACTTAATGATTCTGAAGTTACAAAAGCCCTGGAAAAAGTGACTTATGACCATTTTTCATACTTAGGACCATTGCAGCATTTCCATGGTCATGTAATGTTATATTATACTGTTACATTATATCTTAATGATGGTTGCAGTATTTCTGGGCTCATGTGATTCACTTTTGCAACCTTCTGTCAAGCAAGTCAGTGGGAAGCAGATTCATCTAACAACTGTGTTATTAACTTAACAGCAGTGATTCACTTAACTGTAGCAAGAAAGGTTGTAAAATGGGGCAAAATTCATTTAACAACTGCCTTGTTTAATAGTGGAAATTGTGGGCTCAATTGTGGTTGTAAGTCAAAGATTACTTAAACAGCAAGTTGGGTTAGATGAATCCAAAGGTGTCTGAAGCATGAGTAACTAAACAGTACCTCCCAACCAAGAAGGGACAACTGGGACTCAGGGTGTATTTGTGTAAAGGCCTCTAACCTCAACTGCCATTTCCTCATTTGACCAGGAACTCTGAGTTCAAGAGAACCCCAGAAGAGTATAACTCCTTGCCAAACATAACAATGGCATACCATTAGATATGGGAAGTGGAGGGGAGGGCTAAAACCCACAGCATTTACATAGTTTTTTATGAAAATGTACTCCGTATAATGTGTAAACTATGGGTTAAAGTTAAGTACTGTATATGAATCAGATCATTGCTCAACAAACCATTGTTAGATTAAATCATAAATTAAAGCTGTCAAATTATATTGATTATATTATATAGCAGATTGGTGTAATGTTCTCTCATAGATAACAGACAAGCTTAAAATACTTGAATGAACTTTAGAGAAGAGTAAGTAAACTAGTTTATATGAGTTAGTCTACTTAGATGGAGCAGTGAGCTATTATTGCTTGGTGTAATAGTGCTTTAGGAAATCCTTAAAGGGCTAGCTCAACCTCTTATAATTTTGATGGATTTTCATTCGTTCAATAAATTAACTTTTTCTTCCTGGTTTATTTTCTATTTAATCAATCATCTTCTGGATTTTTTTTTTTTAAATAAGGACAAAGTGCAAGAGATGCTGTAGTATCTATACTTTCTTATATCTGAGAGATGGTATTCTGGCCCTTAGAATGATTGGAAAATGGGTTGCAGACTGTATATCACAGCAGTATTCTCCTCCTTTCATTGTTTTTTCTGCTCCTCTTACAGGATTGGCAAGAAATTGTAACACTATATGAAAAGGATAACACTTACTTGGGTAAGATAGCCTCCATGTGTTGCATAGAAATTTACCAATTCTCGTAATGAGACTAAGACCACTCCTTTTTTTAGCCAGTAATTAAGGCTGTATAAATTCACTGCTTGCCTACCAGCAATTTCTTCCTCTCAGAAACACCTTTGAACGTTTGAAAAAGCTAGATTGCCCCAACTTAAGAAAAGCTTTCCACATTCATATTGTCCTTTCTTAATCTAGAGCAGTGGTTCTCAACCTTTCTAATGCCGTGACCCCATAATACAGTTCCCCATGTTGTGGTGACTCCCAAATGGGTGTGGCCACCAATAAGAGGGAGTAGGACAGCTAGGGAAAAGGGAAAAAAATGGCGGACAGCGTGGTTTGGCGACCCCCGTGAAATGGTCGTTCGACCCCAAATGGGGTCCCGACCTACAGGTTGAGAACCACTGATCTAGAGTGTATTCTCTCCCTCAGTACTGTACCAGTTTCCTTAATGTCTGCAGTCCCCAAGCACAAAGGTGTTTGAGGCTTTAAAAAGATGCAAGGGTTTTAGAGCAGTCCTTCCCAAACTTCAGCTCTCTAAATTATCACCTACATCCATCCTGGATAGGGAATCTACATATCTGGTAGGAGCCCAGACTAGAGAAGACTATTCTACAGTCAGCGGCAAGAACCCTTCAACCCTAACTGAAAGTTACCACGGATCGTAGACCATGCTTGAGCTTTAGTTTTTTCTTGTCTGTCATTTTATATCAGCCTTTAAAACTCTTGCACTAAATTTTCTAGGCTCAATATTTGTTTGCATCTTTTGTTACTGACCAATCCCAAGTGGCTTTCTTGGGCTCCTAGCCAGAGTAGGAATATACCTTCACTAGAGATAACTAGATGTCTATAATATTGCAAATCTGCACATTTCCAGAATATTTTCATTAGCTTCAAGCCTTTGATACTTGTTACTAAAGTTCTGCATCAGAATAGGAAAATTCTGTGGCATTCTTTGTGTTACTGAATACGTATTTAAATTCCTTGAACAACTTGCCTCCAGAAGTTGTGAATGCTCCAATACTAGAAGTTTTTAAGAAGAGATTGGACAACCTTAGGTATTTCCTATGCAGTACTAACTATCGTATTAGAATAGTATTAAGTACAATTTTAACTAATAATAACTATAGTATTAGAATAGCATTAACTATTCTGTTGTGTAGCTGAATCATTGTCCCATGGATTCTTTTGATTTCTGAGAAAACTTTCCCCAGTATGGTGCTCCCTAGATATGTTGGATCATCTGGAACGTGATGTCAGCCATATTGAACAAGAGCTATGAGTACTGCTGACGGCAATTCAAAAGGCTGGAGATTTTCTAAGTAGCACCATATGTTTTAATTAATATGGAAAGTTTTATAAATAATAAGCCCTATATGATAAGTTGCAGTTGACAGTTCAGTCAGGTTATGGAGGTGGAACATAAAATATATACATGATTCTCATTTCCCTTTGTCAGTCCTTTGTTTTCCCTTCTCACTGATTGGCTCTACATGTTCCCCTTCAGCATCCGAAATTACCTATTTAGGATAAGGAGATCAACTTTCACAGTCACCAATGCCAATCTCTGTTCTTCTTTATTAATTTCATTGCATTACATGTCCTAATAGGGGCACAATGGTCAAGAAGTGCAAATTATTATTACAAGAGTGAAGAGGGTAATTCCAATGTTAAATTCACCAGCAAGGGTTAATTTAGAATTTCTTGACACCAAATCCAGAAGCTAAGCTTCGTAGCTTAGCTGCCCCCTCCCCAAATTCTCATTAACAAGTTTGTTTCTTCAAAGGAGAAAAAAAATAGGCAGACTTAAATTAATCCACCTCAATTCTTTCTCTAGAATGCTTGTCATGGAAGTTAAAGCAGCATCTGTTTTATTTTTACTAAATGGGTAGTTCCGTATTCAGTTGTTTATATTAACCAACTGTCATGAATAGGAGGTTCAAATTACCAGTACTGAAAAGTATGACTCCCTTGAAGATTAGTCTTTGCTTGGCAGGGGATGATTATGTTGTAAAACTGAATTTCTTGTGTACCATATGGACAGAGCTTTTCTTCCTGTTTTTTCTCCCAGTCCAGTTACGCTTCCCTTGCTTCACCTCCATTCCCACAATCTCTTTTCTTTTCTCTTTTCTCAATGTAACTATTCATTCCTTTTATTGCTCCTTTATACTAGAAGGAGAGTGCTTGTGCATAGCCATGTGAGTAGATTATGAGAGTAGGTTGGTATATACAGATGGAGATCAATTAATTCTATAAAGGGAGTGTATTATTTATAGGCAATTAATTTTAATTGGTAGTTATTAATTCATGTGTGGAGGAGGGTATTTCTATGTTGGTCCAGCTTTGCTCTTTTTGGGGGGCTGCTGGAATGTTCACACATGCATATATAGATATCTATATACAAATACACACTTTCCCCTTTATTAGTAATCTCTAATATTAGTTGCATTTAGCATTGGCAATCTAGTTTTGACAAATTAAAGAAGTTGGGCATTCCCTGTGCTTTTTTCTGTTTTATCATTTTTTCCTACACTCTTCATCAGAATGGTCTCCCTTTCTGATAAATCAATATATCTACACTCCACCTGCTGTGGCCTTCAGCTAAAAAACAAGGTGCTTTTTATATTTCCTGGCCAATGAAAAGTTGCCTGTTCCTGTTCTATATTGCTTTGATGGATGTGTGTAGTTTGTCTACCATAATGTCATGAGGTGTTTGCTCATATGCAGAAGCAGTGTGAAACACATTTCTTCACTCATTTTTATTTTCTCCTGCAGTGGAACTGGCCAGCCTTCTGGTACGAAATGTCAACTATGAGATCCCCTCCCTCAAGAAACAGATCAACAAATGTCAGCAACTGCAACAAGAATACAGCCGGAAGGAGGAGGAGTGTCAGCTGGCAGCTGCTGAGATGAGGGAGCGCTTCTGCAGCTCCTGCAAGCAGTACGGAATTTCGGTATAAAGGGCTGCTTTCCCCCAAGCACAGACTTTTAGTCTGTCTTGAACCTTTGGGCAGAAAGTGGAGGCTGCTTGAGATCTTGAAAGTTTATCCTCAGTTCACCTAATTTGTTGATTTGCAGTAGAGAAAAAATGGCTCTTGATGGATTTTTAGATTTGATTGCATCCTCTTTTTGTGATGTGTCTGGGTGTGTTGAGGGTGGGGCAGATTATATTTTTTAAAAAATAAGTAAATTACATTTAGAATATAGGACTGATTGGAACTCTGGACTCCCTGCAGACACAAGTGCCACAGTCACCTTTCTTCAGGTCCCTTCCTACCAAAGAAGTGGAGTTAAGGCAAAAAGTTTATGGATCACATTTATTTCTCACGAATAATTAATAATGCTCAGCGGGATTAATTATCACAGCTTCAAAATTAAACTCCTAAACCCATGAGACCTTGGCAAATCTTTTTTTTTTTTTTTTTTTTTTTTTGAGCATTGTCTATTTGTTCTTATGTGTCCCATTTCTACCAGGGGAATGATATACGCCAAGAGCTTCTGGCTTTAGTGAAAGACTTGCCATCACAACTGGAAGAGATTGGAGCTGGTGCCAAGGGTCTTTTGGAAGCCATCAATCTATACCAGGCCTGTGTACAATTTGTTTGCGATGGGTAGGTGCTTGTAAGCTGAAAATGGTCTAGAATAACTTAGGGGGAGATATACAATCTTCCTCATTATTTAAAATCTGCTGATGTAACTGGAAAGGAACAATAGCTCTATGCTAAAACACGAGGTGCCAAAAGTACTGCTTTTTAGGGTCTCCCATATTAAAAAAAAAAAAATCTGAAGAAGATTGCAAAAGATCTCAGGCTTGAAGAGGCTGGCAAGGAAAAAACTGCATGGATTTAGGTAACCCAGTGGTCCAATTCAGATAGATCAGGTTGTATGATGTGATATCGATGGTTGAAGAGAAAGGCTGTACTTCAGAAGAAGAATATATGCATCTTCAAGCTGAGCTAGAAAAGCTTTTGTCAGAAACCCTGAGAAATGTTGATATGGTTGATGTATTACTAACTAGACGGATAAATGTGGATTAGTTAGAGATGTTTTTTTCCTTTAAAATGTTGGAGCTGCTCCATTTATTTGAGCCTGGGATGAAGTTTGCAAGCACCCCACAACCCACACATAGCAGCTCTTTTTACAGTTACTTTCAGTTTGTAAAGTAAGAGGTATTTCCAAAAGAGTGCAGATCATCTTTGTTTCTACAAACTGTAACGAAGTACAAATTGAGGCTTCTTTTGTGCATTCTAGTTCTACAGAACAAGTAGTCCCATTACTGAGACATGTGCAGGCTCAAGGCAACACCACCATGTATGAATGGAGGCGAGGAGTCAAGCCAACATTGGTGGAACGGCCAAAGACAGAGGAAGAGAAGGAAATGGCCGAGGAGGAGGCGGCGGTATGTCTAAACGGGGCCAAAGGGACATGATAAAATGTACTGAATCTATCTGAAAAAAGGACTTTTTTTTTTCTCTCCTCCAAATATTACATTTTTAATATAAAAGCTTTACTTAAATTCTTTGAGAATATGGTAATGGAACTGTACAATTCTTTTCTGTCCATTTTGAGGTTCTGTCTTAAATTCAGAATTTTCTTCCTTTTCACTAAATACAGTGTATGATTTGATGGGGTGTGCCTGCAATACAAAATGTGTTTTGTTCCATGGACAAAATAAATTTACTAGGGCTCAGAAGTTTGGCCAGAGCATTCTGAGGGGGGAATTGCAGTCTGGTCAAACTAAAACCTGAAACATCTTTGTTTTTTGGGGCATTTGTGATAATAAATCCAGAGGTGAGTAGAAGAAGGCTTGAACATCTTGCCCTTCAGCCCTCCTTTACATGACCCCTGTTTCTGCACTCACCATGCTGCTGTTAGACGTTGCATAAGCCATTGGCTACCCCAACCCTCATCTTCCAGTTCTCCCTCTGTCTCTTTAGCTGCCATCTCTATTGACCTGCCCTTTTGCCTGGTCTTCCCATCCTTCAGTGACGACATGTTTCAGCTCTGTGCTTACATGAAATGTGAGCGGAAACTTTTGCATGTTTTTATTGATTTATATACATCTGCTAATGAGAAAAAGAAGCAGAACGCAGGACTTCAGGCAAGCTATGCTTACATATGCTATGGCCAACCATACAACTCCAGGCACTATTAAATATTAAAATATATTTGCACGAAAAAGGTATTTATACTAACTGTTACATAATTTAAAATGTCATAAAACTGATGCAGCATTAGAGAGATTAAAATATATTAAAATATGCAAACAATATAAATCAGTAGTTATGACTAACAGAGGATTACTATCTGATATCATCCGAGGTATCAGATGCAGAAATGAATAAAAATATGTGCCAGAATTGTAATAAAAATGGTACAGGGTTTAATCTGTAAAAGAAGAATCCTTACTGTAACAGAAATGCAGCATCTGTAGAAATAATTATCCAAAATAGTCTCACGTTGTCCTCATATATCTGAAATTTGTCTCATTTTATTGGCCAGATGGGTACCCAAAAAAATCCTCATTCTAAGTGGCCAGCGCAGAAAGTCCCAAGCTTTCAAATGTTAGGGAATTTATTTTGTACCTTCATGTTTATAAACAAGGGTAAGAAGCGTGAAATTCATGACCATGTAAGTGTGTTTAGGAGTGAAAAAGAAGACACTTAAGAATTTAAAGCATAGGTGTTGATCTGAAAGGGGGGAAAAACACCTTGAAATCATGAGATATCTCCAGAATTATTTAGTGATAGAGCCTGTGCTTTGTTTTCTCATTGCAGGTTGACTGGGGTGATTTTGGAACAGAAGAAACAGTATCTGTCTCTGAAGCAACAGATTATGGTATCTCAGTTGAAGGAGCAAGTGAGGAGATAGATTGGGGAATTTCTTTGGAACCAGAAGCTCAAGTGGGTGGTCTTTCATATCTGCCTGCTTGTATATTAAGTCTGTATTCGTGCGAGTTTCAAAAGTACTGTGTCAAAACATGTTAACTGTCCATTATATGTGGATGCTGTTGGTGCATAGCCACACAATATTGAGAGGAAATGTATTCAAATACAGCACTAGACTGGGATTTATTTTAACCATGTTTACAAAACCAAGCTGCAAATGTCTTTTGGGACAGTCAAAGGATTGTGATTATCAAGTTATTTATCGGTGAAAATACAAAACAAGCCAGAATGTGATATACATAAGCCAGGCTTAACATTGGATCAAGATTTGTAAACTGCTAAAGGACAATAAATTTAAATTGCAGTCATGGAAGCCTTAATTTTTTTTGTTGAACTGAATTCACATTTTTTGTTTAGTTAGTTAAATGATTTGTGATAGAGATCTTGATGCTACATATGAACCAGCCCATATTTCATGCAGACGTAATATTCATCCATACAGTAATGGGTTAGAAATACAAACTAACATTTTGGATCTGGTAGCCTTGTGTATTGTTGCCACACATCACCATCACCTGCTTGTGCCATCTTTGCAGAACCTGGTCCACTGAAATAGCCTATGCCTTCCTTCCCATAGGGGAGCAGCTCTTCAGGCATTGACTGGGGAGATATGAAAGATGATATGGCTCAAATTCTAAGTGAAGGTAAGTGTCTGTTTTGCCACTGCTAGGAGCAGAGTGATATGCATTTATATGAGCTAAAGTAAAACTCATCAGGGAATAAGTTGAAAAAGTCTTCCCCCTCCAAAACTGGCCTAAACGAGGAAACTACTTCAACACCAGGGCCATTTGAAGGTGAGAACAGACAAACATGGGAGGGATTAAGAACCACTGTCTTGAGCAATTTATTCTTTCTTGGGATACTTCAGCTTTCATAGAAAAACTGTTCCTGCAAATATATCATGAAGTTTTATCCCAGATCTAATTTAAGGACCTGATGTGAAAGAGAGGTGGAGAAGTTAGACACAAGAGGGCAGTATTGGATATGTGATTCTTGTTCCTGTTGTGGGATTCTTATCCAAAGATCAGGCTTTAGTTCTTACTCATCCCTTTTTGGATTTCTTCTATTTGTTTTCAAGTTGTGCCAGTTGTTCCTTGCTTTATCCATTGGTGATACACGGATGTAGGATTCTTGCTGGTGGTTTTGAAATTGCAGGTGCTAGCTAGCATCTTGACTCATCAAAAGTGGGTTTTCTCTTGCCAGTATATGAACTAGAAACATCTAATTGAGTTATTTGGAGGTTGCTTGTTTCAGTGCTGGATTTATTACATGAAGCCATCATTCATAGTACGAGGCTATGATATAGTTCCACTTGTCTTTCACTATGGTGGTTGGGGATGGTAGATTCAAACACATCTAGAGGCCATCAGGTGGAGATAGCTGATTGGTTAAGAACAGGGTAGGTTCCCAGTCATACAACAGCCTGAGAATAAATCTGAATTCAAGTGAATTCAAAATATCATTTGGCACCAAGCTCAAATAGGGGTCAAAGTTCCTAATACTAGCTACTTTGCAATCACAGAAGACTTGCCAAAAATACAAATCTTTATATTGAGATACTGGTTTTCTCAAAAAAAAAATGTGGGAGATAGGCCTGAATCTACTATTTGAAGCGGAGTTAATTTGGTATCTGTGTTTTCTCACAATCTTAGTATGGACATCTTTTCTAGGTCAGAATTTTGCAGATGGACTGCTGACATAAGCAATGTTGGAAGGAGGGAAAAAAGCTTTGTAGGTTGGAAATGACCACAGATAACTTACTGGTATCATTTAGGGGACTGAAGGCTAAAAATATGAAGAACGATTGCAGGAATTGAATATGTCTAATTTAATGAAAAGAAGGACTATGGGTGACATGATAGCAGTATTCCAATATCTAAGGAATTGACACAAAGAAAAGGGGGGTCAAGCTATTCCCCAAAGCACCTGAAATCAGGATAAGAAATAATAGATGGAAACTAATCAAGGAGAGAAGCAACCTAGAACTAAGGAAAAATTTCCTTAATTAATTAATTAGAACAATTAATCACTGGAATGACTTGTCTCCAGAGGTTATGGGTGCTCAAAACTGGAGGCTTTTAAGAAGAGACTTATCTGAAATGATACAGGGTTTGGACTAGAATGGTCTAGGGGGTTGGACCAAGGTCCCTACCAACTTTCTTTTGTTGGTATTCACCTCTGATATCCATTATGCATTTATACAAGTTTTTATCTGAATTAATAGCAGGTTTTATTTATTTTATTAGAATTTTATCCCACCTTTATTACTTTATAAGTAAGTCAAGATGGCGAACATGCATAATATTCCTTCTTTATAATAACAACCCTGTGAGATGGGTTGGATTGAGAGGGAGTGGTTGGCCAAAGTCACCCAGCCAGCTTTCATACAATACTTGCAGAGAAAAATCTAAAATCTATACAAAATCCTTTCCAGTTACTATGTAGAAATTGGATTTCTTATGCATTCTTTTTATGATAATAAGAAATTGTGTTCTTATACAGTACATAATATTATATTTGGGAATTGTTAATTCAGGCCCCACACCAAGAAAGCTGGAATCCACAATCCTTATGATACAGAATTAAGCAAATGTTATATATTATGCATTTGTTTTTGCTAATGTGGATGGAAAAAGCTCCATAATTCACTTCATTTGGTTTCTAATATTCAATAGAGCTTCGAAACAGATGTATGTGATTCTCATGAGAATTAGACATTAAGCTCAAATAGAATAATTCTTTGTTCATATTAAGTCCCATCTTTGTACAGCACTTGCTGTCTGCAACTTCCATTGGCGATATAGCTGGGCATGGAGCTCGGTAGAATACTGAAATTACTCAGGATCTTTTAGAATGAATTCGTTCTGAATTTGTTTGATTGTGGGAAATGGAAAGAGAAGGAAACTAAGTCTCTCCCTCATAGCTTTTGAAGTTTTTACCTATGTCCCTTGTTATTCCTATCTAGACCTTGAGGGAGTTGCACGAGGTCCTGATGCTTTCACCCTTCTGGAAACACCAGAGACTCGTAATCAGTTCATTGATGAACTCATGGAGGTAATGGTTGATACTTTTAGTTTATTCCTTTTGCCTCCATTCTTTTAATGTTGTAAAGCCATCCTCGGTTTATCTTTGTCATTTGTGTCTCACTTTCCTAGTTTCTTAGATTTTCTTGCCTTTCAAGATAAGTGATGTCCAAGATGCCCTAAGATAAATATATCTGGGTTTCAAATTTATTTTTTTCAAATAGCTGCAATCTCACAGTATTGCCAAATCCTGTGAAATATATAGTATTCATACAATATCTCACTGGATTTTTTAAAAAGAAATCACATAATGATTTCTTTAAAAAAAGTTATGAAAAGTTAGATTATTGTTTTCTTGTAGGATTTCACCCACCGAAAAATTTTGATGCACTGTGTGATGTTGCACGATGACGGAAGGTATCTGAAAATGTTAATCTTTGGGTAAAGCAAGGAGCATAAAGGTCCATTTCTGTTCATTATTCTGAAGGAAATTCAGGCATCTTGCTTCTCAATTCCTCCTGTATTGACCTCTGAACCCCCTCCTTTTTTTCTTATTTTAATGTTCTCATAGCATAGTTCTCACTCAAATGAAAACCTATGTTTCATCTAACACAGAAGATCATTTGTTTTTGGATCAACTGTGGCTTATGCCAAAATAGCTAAGATATGTTTTTACTTGCCAGTCATGTGAATGAAGACTTAGGAATCGGTGCATAAAATCCTGACCTTAAACTCAGAATGAACTGATTTGAACATGCAGTCAGGTACTTGACATCTCTAGTTGAATTTCCAGTTTGCTGGTGGTAGGCGGAATGTCAAAATTAAAGGCTAATAGGTTAATAAAAAGTTACCTTTCCCCTTTTCCATCAGTCTTCGTGAGGTTTTATGCACTGTTTCAGTTCAGTGCCTACTTTCAAGATTATAAAACAAGATTTGGGAATGGCAACTTAAGGCAAGCAATGTGCTTTCTTAATATCAGATGCAGACATTGTTCAAATGTCCAGAAAGAGCATTTTTCCCCTCCACCGTAGAGAAAAAAATGTGTACAGCAGAGAAAGAGTGTGTCATCTTCCACATCCATCCATCTCAGTCACATCGTATGGTTTATTTCTAAGAATTGAATCAAATGTAAAAAGCTTGTTATAATGGCAGTGTCTTTTTTAAATTTTTTACTTCTCTTTTGCTTTACCAGCTGGAGATCTTCCTTTCCCAGCGCATTGCTGAGATGAATGAAGAGGCAGATATCCTATCTGTAAGTCAGTTCCAACAAGCACCACCTATCTTGCAAGACCAGACCAAAGAGAGATTAGCAACCATGATGGCAGTCATCCAGAATCTAATAGGACAGCTAACGAATCTGCGAATGCAACATCTTTTTATGATCCTTGCTTCTCCAAGGTAGGTAAACTACTATCTTCACTCCAATCCTGATAATACTTTTAGTAAAATTAACTGTGCTTAATGTTCTCACAGTTAAAGTTTGGTTGAGATAGTAGCAAATGCAGATTAAATATTTCTAGAATCTGGAATTTAGATTTCTGTAGAAGTTTTGGTGCCATGGGGGGGGGGGCAACTTTCTAGTATCCATTGATATTGTTGGGAAAAAATACAAGGTTACTTAGGAGAGTCCTGTGTTCTGAAATTGAATTGTGATTTACATGGGTTTTGTGCTTCAGACTCAAAATTTTTTTTTTTTTTTTTTTTTTTTATTGAAAATTTTTACATTTTACAAAAACAAATCCCCTTCCCATACCCCCCCCTACCTCACCCCCCCCCTTCCCAACCTCCCAAACCCTCCCCTGGACTTCCCAGAGCTGAGTACAGGCTTAATTAAAAAAAAAAAAAAACTTAAAACACTTTTAAAACCTAAACAAATTTAAATACAATCATCATTCTATATAAGCTCCCTCCAAAAACACAAATTTAAACATTACTTTCTTTGAATATCTATATCTATAATATAAAATCTAATTTCTCCCTCTTTCTTTATCCTAAAACGAAAAAATAAACATACAAATCTTTGTTATACCATTAAAGCTAAATACTCTTAAAGAACTTAAAGTAAGTACATATTTCCTTCAATCTTCATAATCTTCTCTCCTATCCAAAAAGAAAAAAAAAAAAAACTTAAAAAACCTATAAGTCCTAAACAAATCTAAGCACATTTAATTAAACAAATTATTTTGTCTTAAAAATATTAATAATAATATTTAAAAACTAAAAACACTTTTAAATCCTAAACAAATCTAAATACAATCATCACTCTATATAAACTCCCTCCAAAACCACAAATTTTTAAAATTTAAAACATTAGAATCCACTCACTAAAATAAGCAAATTATAATCCCTTCAAAACACAAATTTAAACAATATTATCATTAAAGGTTCAAAACTTAAAACAACAAAGTTAATAAACACATTAAACATTTCAATCTTCACCAATAACTAATTCCATCCATAAAAAACTACATCCTTATCAATCTCAATTATATTAGTATTATTAATTATTCACATTCCAGTTTTTTCCATTCTCCATTCTTCCATTCTTCCATTTCCCTTCTCCATTCTTGTATCAAACTCGTAAGAAATGCTGCAAGTTCTGCCTTAGGAGACTGCTCCAAAATTCCTGAATCTCCCATCGACTCCGAAGCCAATAAGGGTTCCTTAAATTCCTCCTTGTATTGATCTTTACAATTGTAAGTTGTACAAGTTATCCTCTGCCCGTTCCTCTCTTGTTGATGCCCCTCAGACTGAGATTTCCCAGTTTCCATTTCAGGCAACAATTCCACCCTTAAAGATTGCTCCAAAGACTTTGTAGGTCTAACATCTCCCAGAGATTCAGAAACCACTAAATATGAAACTTCCTTAACCTTCTTCTGTTGCTGCTTTTCTTTGGGATTATATACTGCACAAGTTGTCTTCTGCTCCTCAACCTGGACTTGTTGAGGCCTCTCACACAAAGATTCTCCAGTTTTCATAAATATAGGCTCTTCAAACTGTGATTCTACATTCTTTTCTTCCAAAGCTTTAAACTTAATTGATGGCGATGCACATACCCCCAGGACCGAAGTATAAAAATCTTTTGCTTGAGAAACAGTATTAAGTCTATAACATGTCCCCAGGTAATTCACCACCATTCCAATCGGAACATCCCATCTGAATGAAATTTTTCTCTTTTTAAGTTCATTTGCTAAAAAAGCAAACTCCTTTCTTCTTCTTAAAATTTTAGATGGGATCTCTTTAAAAATTATAACATCTTGTGAAGCAATTTGAAATCTCTTCTTATAATAGGCTTGCACAATTTCATTGCGTAAAGATCTTTTACCAAAGTAAATTACCACATCTCTTGGCAGATTCTTCTGTGCTGCCACCACAGAGTTAACCCTAAATAATTTTTCAATTTCATTAAGTATTCCCTCTTTTTCTTTATTCAAAATCAATGCAAAGTCCTTTGCAACCATCTCCTTCAGATCTCCTTGCAAAGACTCTCCCAGGCCTCTAATTCTTAAGGCATATTCCATTTGTCCATATTGAAGCATAAGAATCTCATTTTCCATTTCTTTTTCCATACTTTCAATTTTCCCCTCCATTATGTCCACTTTTTCAGCTACCTCTTCCACATGGGAGTTCACCTTTTCAAGAACAGAAGCAACACCTTCTAAAGCCAAAACAAAATCTTGTCTCAAGATCTTATTGTTTTCCTCTAAAATCTTTTTCATTTCTGCCCTAATTTGAATTATAACATCTCCCATCATGTCTTGCAAGTCCTTCATAGTTATTAGCTGACCCCCAGAAGAGGGTGAAACTGTTGATTTAGAAGCTGTAGAAATCCCTGGACGCTTTGGAGCCATCTTAAAGAAAAACCTTTAGTCCTTCTTAAGAAATTATAAAAATTCCTTCAAAAATCATAACTCCCTCCAAAGAAGGTCATTATAATAAAAAGAAAAAAGGGAAAAAAAGGAAGAGAAAAAGAATTAAAAAAAAATTTTACTCCTTCTTAAAAATTACAAAAAATTAAACAAAAAAAAAGTCCTTCAAAAAAGGGTCATTACAAAAAAAAAGGGAGTTCAAAGGAAAAAAAAAGGGAGAAGAAAAAAAAAAATAATAATTAAATAAAAAAAGTCCGTTCCAAAAAAAATACTTAGAGATACCAAAAACAACCATTCCAATCATAAGGAAATAAAAAGAGAAAGGGAAAGGAAAGAAAGAAAAACACCAAAAAGCCTGCCGGTCAGCATTCTAACTTCCAGAAAAAAAAACACCGAGGAGTTTGCCGATCGCCATTTTACTTTCCCTTTCAACAAAGAAAAAAAATAAAAAGAGAGAATAAAAATAGAAACAAATCTTAAAACTTAAAATCCAAATAAGTCAAAGAAAGCAAAAACTAAATCCTCTACTCAGCTCTGTCCATTTAAAAAAAAAAACTCACCAGTTCTCTTTAAGCACGGAGGTGTTTGCAGCGGCTCGTTTTGTCCCTAAGGACAAAAACAGCTGGGAAGCGGAGACAAGTCTGAACTCCGTGGGAGCACTCCTTTCACCCCCCCAAAAAAAAAACTTGGGGGGTGCGAAAGAGGCTCTACCACTATTCAGACACTCTCTACCCCCCCCCTTTGCCCGGGAGGGGGATTTTGAACCGCTGAACAGCTGGTGTCTGCTGTTCATAGCGGTTCTTACACTTACCCAGGAGGACGGCTACAAAGTAGCCGCCATCACGCACGCAAAATCCACCGGAAGTAGACTCAAAATTTTTTTAAAGTCCTCTTTATGGCAAGGGAATTTTTTTCTGATGGAAGTGGTACAGGAACTAGAACTTCCAAGTGAGGCAGTTGTTAAGTGAATCACAGCCATTTTAATGACCTTTTTGCCCTGCTTATTAAGTAAACCACTCCAGTTATTAACTGAATCACATGGTCATTAGGTGAATCTGGCTTCTCCATTGGCTTTGCTTGTCAGAAGCCCAGGTCGCAAATGGAGATCATGTGATCCAGGATGCGGCAACATTCATAAATACATGCAAGTTGCTAGCACCTGTATTTTGATCATGCGACCATGGGGATACTAAGGTCATCATAAGTAAGTAACTTTTTTCAGTGCTATTGTAACACTGAACAGTAGCTAAACAAATAGTTATTAAGTCGAAGACTACCTGTACACCAAAGTGCTTCTCAGACAAATAAAGCATTGGTAAACAGACTGCCACAGTCTTTTACTTGTGTGGATTGCTGTCTATTTTGTTTAGGATAACAAACCACAACGCATGCGCAACAATCCATTCACCGTATGTACTCTCTGCTTTCTTGGAAGAGCTGCTAGCATCTTGAGTTTCTGCCAAGTCATGAACTGGAAACAACCTGTGCTGCTAATTATTCAGCATTAAAATATACTTGGCTAGAAATTCATTCTGGTGAACCAAGTAGATCTTACTTTGGTGTAAACATTTTTAAGGTCAAGTTATTAGTTTATTGGATTATTTCAATCAATAGACTAAAATGTGTGAGTGACTCCATTCCAAATACAAAGACAACATTTTATGCATTTCCTCTCCTCTTCCTTTGCTCTCAGAGCTACTTTAAAAGAAATTATTCCAGAATAGGTTACTTTTAAGATCATTCCCTGCCTTTTTTCAGCTATTTTATCACTTCTATGAAACAAAACAAAAACATGACATGGATCCCACACTTAAATCGAATGCTCCAATGTCTACTGATAGTCTTATAGTGAGATTGATCAGCCAGACTTGTCAAATACTCTGATTCTGAGATATCACAATGATACAATGGAACTTTGATTTATTGGGTGGGAATTGTCTGCTACTGAATTTATTTATTTATCAAAGGTATATAGTCAGATATCTAAACAGGTCTAGACAAGACTTTGGGCAGCACACAATAGTGCAATAAGATAACTAAGTAAAAACAATATAAACATATGAACAATTGTTACTGAACATTAACATATTATTTAAAAATAAAATATATAAATCATAAATGGAGTGAGTAAGTATATCAACTACATCATCTTCAACAGGGGAGTCACTTCAAAATGTTGTTGGTTCCCTGGGACCCCCAAGCCTGATGACATAATCAGGTCTTGAGGGACTTCCTAAACATTGAAGGGGATGGAACTTTGGGGAGGTGGGGAGAATGTTCCATAAGGCAAGAGCCACAGCAGAGGATGTCCTTTAATTGCACATTGGGTCAATGCATTATTTTATATTATGTATATAATGTCATTAAGTGTATAGTGTGTTAAAATAAAAATAATGCAAATATAACGGCTTCAAACTATTTTGAATAAAAAATTGTCTGTAATTTTGATGACATCAGAACAGACATTTGGCCCATTGAATCCAAAGTCTGCTAAATAAAAGTCCATTAAATTGAGATTTCATTCCATAACTGGTTAGGGATATAGCAGATAAGAATTGGTTTGTAGGTATTACATGGATGCCATTATGATTCAGATATGTGGACCGAGTGACTGAGCTCCTCCACCAAAAATTGAAACAAGCAAATCTATTGCTCCTGAAGAAGGAGCTAATGGTACAGAAGCAGAAGGAGGCACTGGAAGAGCAAGCTAACCTGGAGCCAAAACTTGACTTACTTGTAGAGAAAACCAGAGATTTGCAGAAACTGGTGAGTACCCAGGAAGTCATTTGTACAGTTTTCCATGTGATAAGGTCTTTGGATCATTTCTGTTTTTGTGTAGTTCAGCATACAGTTTATTTCTTGATTCAGTATAGCTTACATTTCTGCCGTAAATTGCATCTTCCTCCTGTGCCATGATATCCTGAAAAATGTGAAAGAAAATATAAATCAACATCACCTGACATTTTCAGGAAAGCTTTGCAAACAGAAGGCATTCTATTAGGCCATGAAGAACAGAAATTTGGAATGCAGTGAGTATGTTAGTATGTGACTAAATATGAATGTATAAATGGGAAATGGAGAATGGGAACTAAAATACCAGTCTGAGAGCAGTTTTGTCTGCAATATGAAAGAAGAAATACTTGGACTGAAATGACAGTTTTTTAAAAAAATGAAAATTCGTTTATTTTTTCTGAATAAATAATTGGGTTAGTTTGAATTAGAATTTCAATTAATCCTGCCTCATCATTTATTTGTTTATTTATGTACTTTATTTATTGTTGAAAATTGATCCTCTCTGAGCAACTGCTGTTGCCTCTGGAGAAAATATATTTAATCATGATTAATGAATTGATGGCAGGCTGCAAGACCACATGTTCCTTTACTGCTTTAATCGGTCCTTTCACACAGAAGTTCTGCCAGATATTTTCATGACCCTTGCTTGTAACAATTTTTTTTTCCATTTGGCAGAGTTCTCAGGAGGGGAAGGACAAATTTTTGGGGGAAATCCTTAGCTTGAATTCAATTCTCCAACTGAATTACCTTTTTTGGAAACTACAATTAAATGCTTGTACTGCAGTGAACAATTTAGACCATTAACCTGTCCAGCTTCTTCTGGGCCTGTTAAATATAGAAACCTGATGTGATACAAGTTCATATTAGTAGCATGTCTTAGAGTTATTGATGCATATTTGTGCTAATCCATTTTCCACAAAAATAAGAATGTATGTAAGTTATAATTTGGATATTCATTCTTACGTTGCTTTTTTCCCCTTCCTGAGTTTTATTGAATTTGTAAGTAATTCTTACAAACCCTTTATGGATTACTGCCTTGTCGTGGCGAAGAGGGTTGCGTAACTCAATGAAGCTATAAGCTATGCCGTGCAGGGCCATCCAAGATGGACAGGTTATAGCAGAGAGTTCTGACAAAATGTGATCCACTGGAGAAGGAAATGGCAAACCACTCCAGTATCTTTGCCATGAAAACCCCATGGACAGTACTAAAAAGCAAAAAGATATGACGCTGGAAGATGAGCCCCTCAGGTCGGAAGGTGTCCAATATGCTACTGGGAAGAGCAGAGGGCTAGTACTAGTAGCGCCAGAAAGAATGAAGCGACTGGGCCAAAGCCGAAAGGACGCTCAGCTGTGGATATATCTGGTGGTGAAAGGAAAGTCCGATTCTGTAAAGATTTTTTCTCCATAGGAACCTGGAATGTAAGATCCATGAATCAAGGCAAGCTAGACGTAGTCAAAAAAGAGATGACAAGACTGAACATCGACATCTTAGGAATCAGCGAACTAAAATGGACAGGAATGGGTGAATTTAACTCAGATGACCATCAGGTATACTACTGCGGGCAAGAATCCCTCAGAAGAAATGGAGTATCCTTCATAGTCAATAAAAGAATAGGAAAAGCAATACTGGGATACAATCCCCAAAATGACAGAATGATCTCAATTCAAATCCAAGGCAAACCATTCAATATCACAATAGTCCAAATCTATGCTCCAACCACTGGTGCTGAAGAGGATGAAATTGACCAGTTTTATGAAGCCCTACAGCACCTTATAGAATTAACACCAAAAAATGATGTCCTTATCATCATGGGGGATTGGAATACTAAGGTAGGAAGCCAAAAGATAACCGGACTAACAGGCAAGTTTGGCCTTGGAGTACAAAATGAAGCAGGGCACAGGCTAATAGAATTTTGTCAAGTGAATACGATGGTCATAACAAACACTCTTTTCCAACAACCCAAGAGACGGCTCTACACATGGACATCACCAGACGGTCAACATAGAAATCAGATTGACTATGTGCTCTGCAGCCAAAGATGGAGAAGCTCTATACAGTCAGTAAAAACAAGACCAGGAGCTGACTGTGGCTCAGATCATGAGCTTCTCATTGCAAAATTTAGGCTTAAATTGAAAAAAAGTAGGGAAAAGCACTAGGCCACTCAGGTATGAACTAAATCATATTCCTGATGAATATACAGTAAAGGTGACAAATAGATTTAAGGAATTAGATCTGATAGACAGAGTGCCTGAAGAACTATGGACGGAGGTTTGCAACATTGTACAAGAGGTAGCAACTAAAACCATCCCAAAGAAAAAGAAATGCAAGAAAGCAAAATGGCTGTCTGAGGAAGCTTTACAAATAGCTGAGGAAAGAAGGAAAGTGAAAGGCAAAGGAGAAAGAGAAAGATACACCCAACTGAATGCAGAATTCCAGAGAATAGCTAGAAGAGATAAGAATACCTTCTTAAATGAACAGTGCAAAGAAATAGAAGAAAACAACAGAATAGGGAGGACCAGAGATCTCTTCAAGAAACTTGGAGATATGAAGGGAACGTTTCATGCAAAGATGGGCATGATAAAGGACCAAAATGGCAGAGACCTAACAGAGGCAGAAGAGATTAAGAAGAGATGGCAAAACTACACAGAAGAACTATACAAGAATGAGCTTAACGTCCCAGATAACCACAATGAGATGGTCCCTGACCTCGAACCAGACATCCTAGAATGTGAAGTGAAATGGGCCTTAGAAAATCTGAGCAACAACAAAGCTAGTGGAGGTGACAGTATTCCAGCTGAGCTATTCAAAATCTTAAAAGACGATGCAGTAAAAGTGCTACACTCAAGTTGCCAGCAAATTTGGAAAACTCAACAGTGGCCACAGGATTGGAAAAGGTCAGTTTACATTCCAATTCCAAAGAAAGGCAATGCCAAAGAATGTTCAAACTATCGCACCATTGCACTCATTTCACATGCTAGTAAAGTTATGCTTAAAATCCTACAAGCTAGACTCCAGCAGTATGTGGATCGAGAACTACCAGAAGTACAGGCAGGATTTCGAAGATGCAGAGGAACTAGAGATCAAATTGCCAACATACGCTGGATCATGGAGAAAGCTAGGGAGTTCCAGAAAAACATCTACTTCTGCTTCATTGACTATGCAAAAGCCTTTGATTGTGTGGATCACAACCAATTGTGGCAAGTTCTTAAAGAGATGGGAGTACCAGACCATCTCATTTGTCTCTTGAGAAACCTATATGCGGGTCAAGAAGCAACAGTGAGAACCGAACACGGAACCACTGATTGGTTCAAAATTGGACAAGGAGTCCGGCAAGGCTGTATACTGTCGCCCTGCCTATTTAACTTATATGCAGAGCACATCATGAGAAAGGCAGGGCTAGATGACTCAAAAGTTGGAATTAAGATTGCCGGGAGAAATATCAACAACCTAAGAGATGCAGATGATACCACTCTAATGGCAGAAAGTGAAGAGGAACTAAAGAGCCTCTTGATGCGGGTGAAGAAGGAGAGTGCAAAAGTAGGCTTGAAACTCAACATTAAGAAAACCAAAATCATTGCATCCGGCCCTCTCAATTCCTGGCAAATAAATGGGGAAGAAATGGAGGTAGTGACAGATTTTATTTTTCTGGGCTCCAAGATCACCTCAGGTGGGGACTGCAGCCAAGAAATTAAAAGACGCTCCTGGGGAGGAAAGCTATGGCAAATCTAGACAGCATACTAAAAAGCAGAGACATCACCCTGCCAACAAAAGTGCGTATAGTCCAGGCCATGGTTTTCCCAGTTGCAATGTATGGCTGTGAAAGTTGGACCATAAGAAAGGCTGAGCGCAAAAGAATTGAGGCCTTTGAATTCTGGTGCTGGAGAAGACTCCTGCGAGTCCCTTGGACTGCAAGGCGTTCAAACCGGTCAGTCCTAGAAGAGATCAACCCTGACTGCTCTTTAGAAGGCCAGATCCTGAAGTTGAAACTCAAATACTTTGGCCACTTAATGAGAAGGAAGGACTCACTGGAAAAGGGCCTAATGCTGGAAAGATTGAGGGCAATAGAAGAACGGGACGACAGAGAATGAGATGGCTGGATGGAGTCACTGAAGCAGTAGGTGTGAACTTAAATGGACTCCAGAAGATGGTAGAGGACAGGAAGACCTGGAGGAACGTTGTCCATGGGGTCGCGATGAGTCGGACACGACTTCGCAATTAACAACAACAACAAGTAATTTTAATTATAATGATACTCAAGACTCCACTAAGACTGTAGTATTTTCCTTCTCTGTATAGGTTTTGCTAATATAAACATCTGTTATTGCTGAAGATCATTATTAATACAGGTAGTTCTCAACTTACAAGAGTTCACATAGGGACCATTCGAAATTACAGTGGCATTGAAAAAAAAGGAACTTCACACATTGCAGCATCCCTATGATCATGTGATTTACACTCAGATGCTTAACAACTGGTTCATATTTATGAAAGTTGCAATGTCCTGGGGTCATATGATCCTCTTTTGCAACCTTCTGACAAGCAAAGTCAATTGTTAAGTGTTAATTCACTTAACAACCAGGTTACTAATTTAACAACTGCAGTAATTCACTTAACAAACATGGCAACAAAAGCTCTAAAATGGGGCAAGACTTAATGAATTTTCCACTTAGCAAAATAAACTTTGGGCTCAATTGTGGTCAAATTTGAGGACTACCTGTTTATGTAGGCTCATGGTATGCTGCTCATTAGGCTATGCAGTGTTTGGATTTGATTCATAAGAGGTGAATCAAAATATGTGGAAATGTTAAGGCAGTACTATTTTGACACCCATTAAAAATAACCATGTTGGGGGCTTCCAGTTTGCCATCACGACGCTGGCGAATGGATGGAGGTGAGCTCTGTCTTCAGTGTCCAGTTTTATCCCACTGGGAGACCCTGGAAAAGGTTGAAAGTTGCTTTGTAGGGGTGACAACCAAGGAGAGGACCCCCGCTTGATTGTGGAAGGGCAGTAGCCCTTCCGCTTGATCCAGGGCAGCTCTCCAAACCAGCGAGGAAAAGACCAGACATAGCAATATGGCTCATCATTAAGCTGCTGAAAGCCGAAGTCAAAACTATAACCAAGCACC